TTCTCCCTCAAAATAAGATCGGATCCGTGTTCTATATTCTTGATCTATCGAGTAAAACTTTGTCTATCTAACTTTTATATTTTTTTTAGTTAGATAAATGTTACATATTTTTAGTTAAATTTTGTTATTTATTAGCTTATTAATTGTTTGAATGTTGTTAATTATCTTGTTATATTAATTTGCATGTAGTAGTTTAAATTTGTTAGTAGTTATTTTATTTTTATAACTCGTTAGATTAATTTTTTAAGTTTTATTTTGTTGTTATTTTAATTGTTAGGTTAATTTGTATGTTAACGTAAGGCTTAAAAATTTAAATTTTGTTAATTTTGAGTTGTTAGATTAAAATTTAATTATTTAATCTTAAATTTTTAGTATAATTAATTGAATTATATATATATATTAGTGTTATAGGTTAATTTGGTTAGTTGTTTGTTTAAACTTATTGAAATTATATTATTTTTGATGTAGTTTAGTTAAATTTAGTTGAAATTATATAATTTTGACGTAGTTTAGTCATTTCGAATGTAAATTTTATAAGTAATTTTATTAGTTTAATTATTAAAATTGAAATAAGATAACATGCATAATGATTTGATCGGTTCAAAAAACAATTGAATAATAATATAATTAAAAAATTAAAATAAACATTAAAATTTTATAAATATTTTATTAATTAATAGAATTAAATAAATATTTTAGTTGAATACTTTCAAAGATTATTTAGATGATAATGTAATTTAACGTTTTTAGGTTCAAAAAGTATTAAAATTTCATGTATTTTAAGTGAAAATAATAATGTAATTACCTTAAATTACTTAAAAAATGTTAAAATTTTATAAATATTTTATTAATTAATAGAAATAAATAAATATTTTAGTTAAATGTTTTCATAAATTATTTAGGTGATAATGTAATTTAACATTTTTCGGTTCAAAAAGTATGAAATTTATGAAAATGATAATGTAATTACCTTAAATTACTTAAAAAATATTAAATATTTATAAATATTTTATTAATTAATAGAATTAAATAAATATTTTAGTTGAATATTTTCATAAATTATTTAGATGATAATGTAATTTAACGTTTTTAGGTTCAAAAAGTATAAAATTTCATGTATTTTAAGTGAAAATGATAATGTAATTACCTTAGGTTACTTTAAAAATGTTAAAAATTTATCAAGATTTTATTAATTAATAGAATTAAATAAATATTTCAGTTGAATATTTTCATAAATTATTTAGATGATAATGTAATTTAACATTTTTAGGTTCAAAAGGTATAAAATTCCATGTATTTTAAGTGAAAATGATAATGTAATTACCTTTTAGTAAAATGTTGAACCATTTTAGCAGGACGATTTGAAATTTGACATGAATTGATAGATGAAGTCGAGGACGTCACTTTGTTGAATGATCCAAATGGATCATTTGTAAACATAGAAGTAAGTGTGGTTGACAAAGAAAATGATTATGACAATGTTTCAAATGATGAAGATGATAACTCAAACAATTATTATGATAGTTTGAATTAAATTTATATTTCATTTGTTGTATTAATAAGAAATTATGTAATTTTTTCTCTTTATTAATTTATTAATTTTGGTTTTTCTACTTTCATTAATTGTTTGTTGTATATTTTGATTGTTTTATGTCCATAACAAATGATGTATTTTAATTTATTTACCCATGAATGGACTCTAACAATATATTTGTTTAATTTTGTTTAACGTTAGATCATACAAGCAATGACTCATGGTAATCATGGTTTACATCATCCCCTTAGAGTCACTATCGGATTACATTCCGATAATCATGGACGAGCATCACTATCGGAGGGTAGTCTATTAGGATCCCCAATCGGTATCGATCGTGGGTCTCTAAGGATAGGACTTTTCGTGGATCCAACGGCTCCCGTAATCATGGAGCTAGCACATCCGCATCGACAAGTGTTCCTATATTAGCACCCGAGGTTCCACCATCAACCTGCGAGAGTGGCCCCTCCGCATACGTGTCGGACACTCCGGAGAGTTCTTATAGCTTATCCAATCGACAACGTATTGTTTACGTCGATTACGAATCGTATGTATTAATTTTTTTTAATATGTAATTTCAATAATTACTATATTTAAAATATTTTTTTCATCGTTTTGTTGTTTGCTCGATAGATTGACTTCGGATAATAGAGATTATTCTATGAAGATCTATGAGATTTTTAAGGAACGGGTGGACAAGAAAGGATTCGTCATGGAAGGATGTCCCCGATGTCACTAAAGACTCTACTTTAGTGAATTTAAGGTAACATATTTATAATTTTCTTTATAGTTACACAAAAAATTTTCTTATCAAATAAATTATATAATTTTTTTACTTGTGCGAAATTTTTTGAATGGGATGTGGACATTGATGCGCTTGTTAGAGGGACATAGGAGCTTGTTACTAGGAATTGCTATACTAAATTCGTGTACAAGATCGGTTTGATGGATGAACGACCTCTATATATGAGTCAAGAGGCATGAGATACGTGGCAAGTTGATTTCAAGAAACCCGATTGCATGGCTCGTTCAAAGCAAGCATCGTGGAATTAATTATTAGAGACTAGTGGTCCTGGTTGGGGTCCTTCTAGACATACGGAGGGCTCAATATCTTCACAAAAGCATGCACATTGCTTGGTAAATTACACTCTTTATTATTATTTACTTATTTTAGAACATTTTAATTTGGAACTTGTCATATTCTCTATAATGGTTTTCTTTTAGGCGAGTAGAATTGGGACATCAACCAACGAGTTTTGAGTTATTCCGGAGGACTCATAAGAAATGTGATGGTTCATTCGTCGATATGCGCTCTTAGTAGACAAAGCTTAGTATTTTTGAATTTTAAATATTAAATATGAAAATTTATTCTCAAACTTATTTTAATACTATAACGATGATATTATTATTTTGATTATGTAGGGTCATGTGGAGCGACTTATCAATGAGGAAGTTGAGGTTCGAGAGGAGGCGGGAATCTTGGAGCCAAAAGTAGACCATAATGCCATATACCCGTAGGTTTTCGGAAAGAAGAAGAAAAGATTTTATGGCATAGGCACATAGTCGGTGCATTATGTCTCGGCCGAGTGGCGAGCGGCTCCTCCTCCGTGACGTCGCAATACATGATCGATCCGGCTAGCAAAAAGCTTCGAATGGACTACGAGGCTACGAAGGAAGAGGTGATTGAGCTTAAAAGCTAGATTTTAGAGCAAAATCAGACTATTTATGGCATGAAGTCTCAATACAATTCGATGGCATCCTTACTAATGCGAGTCGGCACGAACATCCCGGTTATCTATAGATTCGTCGATCATTCAACAATCTATCGGTCCTTCCACTCGGCCTTCGGTCGAGCCCTCTACACAGCATGAGGATGAGGATATGAGATTAGATGAGCATGATGAGTGATATAATATTTAGTCACTTTGTTTGTTTTGTTGTTTTTTTATGAAACGTATTCTAGAATGATTTTGTTAATGTTATTTTATTTTTCATATATACATGATTACTTATGATTGTTTATTATTAAATTTTAATTATTAAATGTCATATTAATAATTTAATTTTCAAAAATGTCAACAAAAGTGAAGAAATTGCGAAAAAATCATTTTCAAAAATAGTGATTGAATAGCAACGGATTGGTGACAATTTCGTTTTTCGAATAGCGACGAAATACCGATGAGTTTATTTTGAAAATTAGCAATGGAATAGCGATGGATTTATTTTTAAAATTAGCGACAGATTTATTTTTAAAATTAGCGATGTTAGTTACAAAAAAAAAGAGCGATCATACAACATGATTAGTGATGGATTTTTTGGTTTAGCAACAGATTGTCCATCACTAAATTTAGCGACAAACCGAGTATTCCGTCGCAAAAATTTAGCGACCAACAAAATAGTGATGGAATATGGTCCGTCGTTATTCCGTCGCTATTCTCAATTTTTTTTGTATTGACAAACTATAGAAATTTAGGCACCAAGTAATTATCCATCAATTTGACAAGAATTCACATAACCAAGCCAAGGAACATACCTCATCATGCTTACAAAAATTAAGGACAAATCATTCAAAACAAGGCATTAAGAAATTGTTCATCAATTTGACAAGAATTCACCTAAAACAAAACGATTCAAACGGGATGTTCACAATCCCTCATCAATGTAACTCATACACATTAGATCTTGTGATGTAGGTGAGAGTTAAAATTACTTAGATAAGTTAGAGATGAAAGAAAACATTTCAAGATCCTTTAAGAACTTCACCTTGCCCTTTGTTCTAGCTCTTGGCTAATTGCTAAAACCTTCCTCCCTCCCGTCTAGCTCTCTCCTAAGGTCTATCTATATGTTTTTCCTTTGTAAGAACAAAATGGCCAAAACCTTGGACAAAAAAAAAGAAAACTTTCACCTATTTAAGTGTTAAGCAATGTATAAAGAAATGACCAAAAATCCTAGATGATGACACCTCCCTAACTAACTCATCCATGCAAGCCTAGGTAGTGACACTCATCTTTGCACTAATTCAAGGTAAAATAAGCCCCTTACTTGTTCAATTAATTCAATTAAGCCCTTTGATTAAGAACGAATCACTTTAGGGCTTTCACAAGATCACATAGAAGCAATACATATGATATTAAGGACAAGCAAAGTATAACATTCGATAATAAAACATACAACAAGACATGAAAATTATTAAAGAAAATCATATGTCAAGACATTGTAGTTTTCATCGATGAAAACTAGCATGTCATGATGCACTTATTTTTGGCAACACAAATGCAAGGCAAATATAATTATAAAACATTAAGTAATCACACACACATATATATACACAAATTGACAATCCGAGCCATTTCTTAAGAATCCAGTCGTTGGAATTGAAATTCAATTTGAGCTATGAACAGGGGCTTGTCTAGATTTTGGACTAAGAAACAAGCACATTCTATAGATAGGCAATTCGAAGATAAAGATGAGATTCCCCTTTGTGCACCACTTTCTAATTCTTAAAAAGACGCAAGAGACCCCTCTCGATTCTACTTCGTGGTATTTTTGCACTCATTCTCCCTCTTATTTCTCATGCATTGATAATATTTTTTAATGCATCTTTACCATCATAGGAGGTGGATCTTCAACGAGAACAAGATTTTTCCATTGGGGTTAATTCCAAGGTGTTTCCTATTGGATTAATGAATGTAGGTGTTGAGGAGGAATCGATGCCGAATTCACTCCTGGCGTCTCTCCTTGGTGATGATAAGGCTGCAACGATTGATCATAAAATCTATAAGGGTGATTCCCCAGCACCAATGACTAAAGATGCTAACTTGGCTGATGTTGATACCACAATACCAAGTTCCGGTGGTGATGGGGAACTTTTTACCCCTTTGCACCTTTTTCCTATGAAGAAGAGTGATTTTGGAATTTCTTCCCTAAGAGGGTTCTAGTTTCATCCATTTAGAGTCCGGTAGCACATGCTTTTCCTTATTTGACTCTATTCTGGTTTTTTTTTCTTTTTCCAATCCTTTGTTCATATCTCTTTACCACCTTTCTTCTTGATATATGTAGGGTCACTTAAGGCTTTTATAAAGTTTATAGCCCCCGATTGGCATTCCCTGCAAGTATGTTGACCAACTCTTTTGTTTATTGGATTAGGAATTGTCAAGGGGTGCCATTGGTGCACTATGGGTTGCATTAACATCTCTAGAAGGTCTCCGTTCGTAGTTGCTAGTTCACCTCTCTCGATAGAGTTCCAGTTTAGCCCTCTAATCCCCTCCTATAAAAGTGTTGCAATCAATAGGTTCCCTGTGCTTCCTTTTCAACCCTCTTTGAATTAGGGTTAATTACTTTCTTGAACCTTGTCTTTGATTATTTGAAGCGTCATTTTGGCATGTGATTCCGCAACAAGTTTAATTAATGCTTTTGGTTGGTAAACATTTTTATTTTATATTCTTTTAGGATGATTCCAACTTTATTTACATACATATGATGTGTTTTTTTTTTATCGAGTATTTGAGATCATGACACAATTTGTGCTCATAATTTTGAGTATTTTATTTTATTTATTTTCCAAATAAATGACACATACTTTTTCAAGTGTTTTTCATTGATTGTCTTTTTGTATAACTCAAATCCTCGGATATATATATATATATATATATATATATATATATATATATATATATATATATATAAAGAAGACTCTAGAGTAAGTCGTCTTTGCCAAAGTAGGTTTTGTGGACTTGGAAAGGTCCTTTCCATATTAGGGCCATTTTCCTAGTCATCCGTCCAAGTGGTAGAATCATTTTCCACACTTGATCTCTAAGTTGAAATTTTTTAGCCTTCTCTCTTTTATTATATGCCCTTGCAACCTATTGTTTTTGTACTTACATACAAGTTAGGGCATTCACCCTATAATGATCTATGTTTTTTTTAGTTCTTCCATCATTGATTTATGGTATTGTACTTCGTAAATTGGTTTTGATATGCCACTCTTAGGGATCTAACTTCATTTCACAAGGTAGTACAATATCATGACCATATGTTAATGAGTATTGAGGGGTGACAATTGCTCCTCTATGTGTAGTTTTGTAAGCTCATAAGACGTATGTTAGCAACTCATGCCAATCTCTAAAGTTATTATTGATCATATTTTGTAGATTCAACTTAGTAACCTTGTTAATGGATTATGTTTGACTATTAGCTTGTGCATAATATAGAGTAGAATTTACAAGGATAAACCCCATATCTTTTGCAAAATCCATTATCTCCCTTCCATTAAATATTGTTGATTGATCTATAGTTATTGATTCTAGTAAGCCAAACATTTCAATGATTTTTTGTTTAATGAATTGAATTACCGAAGTTTGTCTTAAGGTTATAAAAGGCTTGGCTTTAACCCATTTGTGAAATAGTACAAAGCCATTAGGATATAAGTGTGTTGCTTATTAGAGTGAGGGTGCATCTCGCCATTAATATCCATTCTCCATCATCTAAAGGGCTATGGTTTGATCATAAAGTGTAACTCTACAACGGAGACTCTAGCACTACACCAAAAAAAGCATTGCGGGCGGTTTTTTTGTTACAGTAATCGCCTCTACAAATTGTAGAGGCAGTTTTAAAGACCACCTTAAAATCGCCCGCAATGTCGTCGTCTCTAGGATGTAAAGGCGATTTTGCCAACCGCCTCAAATAATTTGCAGAGGCGGTTATAACCACCTCTACAATGTCTCTTTTAATGATGTTTTGGGTATAATTTGAGGCGCCTCTACAATCCCGCCTCTTTTGAAATGTTTGAGGCGGTTATAACCGCCCCAAAGTTTAAAAATATAAAGGTGGTTTAGATCGCCCCAAACAAGTATATTTAAAAAATAAATAAATTACTTCATTTTGAATTTATAGAGGCCTTCAAATTCAATTAATTACTTCATTTTTTAGTCAAAAAACATATAAATTAAAAAAAAAGTTACAAGAAGTTGAATGCAAATAAAAAAAATTATATTGCTTACATAATATTCTTAAATTTGTAATTATCAAATTCTAAATACATAAAAAGTCTTCAAACATCCATAAGAGGAAAAAAAAACTAAAAGATTAAACACTTGTTCGAAATACATAAAAAAATTCCCAATATGTTGTAGAATAAATGGCTAATATTGACGGGCATTTTTGAAGTTTAGGTCGAGCATAACCTAATTCCACCTATCCAAAAGGCTATTAAGGGGTATTGGCTCCTGTTCTCGAAGAATCATTGTACTCTAAATTCTCCCTCCTAGCACCTTGCTTTGTGATTGTCTATATTTTCAGTTATTAAAAAGAAACATAAAAATTAATTTGCTTGCATCTTTCGTTGGTTCAATACAAGAATTCCATAAATAGAACATTTAGCCATGTATCGTACACGGTGATGGGTGTTCGATCGGAAAATAACATATCTTGACTATTATAAAATAGATGATCTTTAGTCCACTGTAAATACAAGAAACAGAATAAATAGTAGTAATGACTATTCACGAACAAGATTATATCAATTCAAAAGCTGTCAAATGATCTCATCATCATGAATTTTTGTACTAACTAATTCCACCTATTGGAAGAAAGTGGAGATTTTGTTACTACAAAGTAATTAAAAGTCTGGGTAGAACAGGTATTTTTGAAGTTCGAGTCAACATAACCTATCCATAGTCATGGATGAGAACACCATAGCGAGATCAAATGCGGGACTGATTGAAATTTGACGGAGTAATGTCCGAAAAGGGTAGCCGAGTGAAAATATCAACGTCTATTTCAACCCCAAGAAAAAAGAAGGAACATTGCTTCACAAAATAATTTATTCTCTAACATCAAATCCTCCATACGAGGAAATAAAAGGTCAATTCTTACTTGCGGACATGGGTTCCAACGAGTTGTCATCTCAACATGATTAGTGGCATCCTAGTTTAATTTGCAAGAAGAGTTAAAAAATGCTATCATCCGGATAAGATCCGAGTGAAAAAAAAAGAGCCTATGTAAAGGAAATATTGTTGTATTATTTGAGCCTAATAATGAGAAATAAAAAGAACTAAAATTCAAATTATAATGACATTTCAGCCTAAAAAAAAAGAAAAAAAAGCTGTTTCTTTGTTAAACAAAGATAACAAGTCATTACCCATTTCCCACCATTGTCCTGGTTTCATGGAACATGGAGGACAAGTACATTCCAAAATACATAAAAAAAAATTTATTTCAAATTAACATTACACTAAAAGATATTTATATATGTTATCCCCTCAAAATAAAAATTTACTCAAAGGGTAACCGAATTAGGGACCTAAGAATCTCAATTTTTAACCATTGACTTAGGAAAAAGAATTAACCAACACACCAATCTCTCTTTTGTTCAACTTCCCAATCCAATCCGAGATAACATCCCGCAATGTTTTTCCCATCTATCGGATACACCTTTCGTGATCTATAAAACAAAAAAAAGTGAGTCACTCTTATCAACTTTTATACGATTACTATCGATTAACATTATAGGAAAGAGAAGTTCATACATTTTGTTCATGTCAGCTTTTTTCATGTGCCAAAAATGGAATCCTAGAGATAGCACGCTCCGAGATCCGCAAAGCACAAGATCATGACATATTAACAAAAACGAAAAAACCCTAATATGTTCCCAAACTTGATGCATCCGAAGAAAAAACATTATATGGTTTTGGAGAAATCATAAAATATTTTGAGAATTATCATAGGTCCCATGGAACAACTAAGGCCGAGCAATGAAAGAAGAGTAAATAAGGATCTTGGAATTGAAGTCCACACACAAATTATATCGGATTAAATAAAAAATACATGCTCAAAATAACCTAGAATAAAGAACATTTTTTACTAGAAGCAAGGAATGTCATATAGTAAAGAGAAGATACACACGAGATAATGGGGGAAATTTTCTGCAAGAAGCTCCTTATTTGGTGTAATAGATTAAGTCAACAACATTATCCTCTGTAGCAGTAGAAGGTAGGAGCACTAATGAACAATTAGAGATAGGCACATTAAGTTAAAAGGTGAGATATATAAGTGAGAAACTAGAATTCTATGTGAGAAATTGAAATTCGAGATAGACATAGAATTAAGGGGCTAGAAATACACCATGTAGGTGAAGTAAAATTATACGGAATGGGTTCAATATCATATCACCGACATGACACAAGTGAAAAATCAACTACTTTTCAAACACCAAAGAATGTTTTTGTACCGAGCGGAATTGATTAAGCAAAAAAGACTAAAAACAAGATCAATAAGAACTTAATCATATGATGATGTTATTATAATTCGGTTCTTACAAAACAACCATTCCGAGTGATCTAATAATGTTTGAGGCATCTTTACGGCAAAACAAGATAACCGCACCTTTTACTAGTGTCGCCACATGGCCTTAGCTGCTACTCTTCCCAATCAAGTTTCTTTATGAAGATGCATATGATTTAATAATGGAGTTGCGAGTGTGTGAATTTTACATTATTTTTCTATCATAAATGAAAAAAATAGAAACTAACATGCAATGTAATTCATGTTAATTGACCAAGTAGCAATAGCAAAAAAAAAAGTTGGATTGCCAAACCATGAAAAAGATATTTGCCTACTCGAGCAACCAATATGTTGGCTTTACTTTTTTATAAACTCGACAATCCTTCAACACCTAGCTCGCTTCTGTAAAAGCAAAAAACTATTAAATAATAGTTTTTTACTTTAATAGTAAGGCTAAGTCATGATCCTCGCTCTTGGCTAAGTCATGATATTACTCTTGATCGTTAAATTCTTAACTAAGCAATAGAAAGGAAGATTTTCTAAGGAAACATTCCTTTAGCACCTAGCCTGCTATGTGAAATTGAGATCTCAACTACTATGTAAAAAAGATAAAGAGCATACATACATTTAGTAAGGAATGTACCCTCTACGTTCATCTTAAACAGGTCGGCACACCAACTTTAGCAACCCTACCTACTCGTCATATAAGTTCAAACACCAGATTGCCTTTAAATTTGCTTAATTCATTTTAGAAGGTGTCAAGAACCACTAAGTAAATGGTCATTCTCATCTAACAGCTTCATCCTCCTCTTTGCTAGCATCGGTCTTCAATGCACTAGCATCACCAATAGGTAGCTCTCTTGCTAGCTTGATTACCCGAAGCCAAGTAATCCAAGTCGGTGCAATTGGTTGATGAAGTTGTTAATTTAGTAGTA